GTGTGTGTGTGTGTGTGTGTGTGTGTGTGTGTGTGTGTGTGTGTGTGTTGTAAATTTTTTAACTAAACCCTGATTAAAAACCGATTGATCCCTAGGCATTACTCGGCCATTTAGAAGACGTCTAACAATTAATCTCCGCCTAGACAATGAATGAAGTTGTAGAAGCCGATTAATTTTTTAACATTTGAAGGAAGTTCTATCTTAATAGAAATATTTAATGAACGAGTAGTGGTGTATTATCATATTAACATATTTTGTATGTTAATAGTGGTATTACCAAATTTGTTACGATATTAATTATATTTAATAGTTTAAAATTTAACGAATTTACAATTTAAAATCTATACTCACTAGTCGTCCGACTAATCCCTAAACTCAAATCCAAAACTCCCACAAACAATCCACATTAACAAATAAATGTCATAGATTAATTGTACATCTGATAAGACTTTATTTTGCATGAATAACTTTGTTCTAAAAAGAACAAAAGCTATCATTATCCCCTACTCTACATAATTCTCCAATTATGATACCATCCACAAGACTAAGGTGTTGTTTGTTTTTTTGGAAAAAACCTCTTCAAACCTCTTATTGCTGCGCGGCGCAGCACACGCGCAACACTTTTCATCTCGCAGCTGTTTGTTTTTCAGAAGTTTTCGGATTAAAAAACCTCTGCGCGTGTTCTTCTTGGCGCAACACTTGTTTTGCCTCTTCCTACCTCTTCCAACCTCCTCTACTTCTTTTTTTCTTGCTAAAATATTGATTATATATTGCTAAAATCTTATTTCACATTTTTTTTGTTTATTCTTGTTGAATTTTTTTTATATTGAATAATAATAATTTGTTGATGAAATATCATTATTTTATGCTAAAATATCTTTATTTTTTGTTAAAAAATCATTACTTTTTGCTCAAATATCATATATTCTTCCCAAAATGTCATACATTATTAAATTTTCGGTGTTAAAAAACTATTTTTGGATTATAAAATTAGTTTATTTTAACTTTTTAATATCTGCAGCAGCATGCATATGTTAAAAAAACAAACACGCTTCTTATTGCAGTTTGCAGCCGTTTGGTCCACCTCTTCTACTGTAGAGGATTGCAGAGATGGTCCGCGGACTTTATGAATTTTTGCTTCAAAAAGACAAACACCTAAGACTTACCCATTCCTCTTAAATTCTTCTACATTTCTTAATCGCTATGCTATTCAACGCTTAGTCAATCACGGCATGCTTCTTCTTTTTTCAGCTAAGTATTGTCTAGATTTTTTTTTTAATATATAAGAAAATAACGACACACTTGAACAATGAAAGGTAAAGTAATTGGGTACATATTCAAGAAAGAATGATGAACATGATTGTTACATAATATATGCCATAATAGGACATCACTAAATACATATCATAAAACAACAGTTTGTGTGAAGGTAACCAACTATTTCATATCTTTTTATAAATTGGAGTCTGAAACAAATTTATTATAAAATTATACTTTCAAATAAAAAACAATTTCACTGAAACAAACTTATTATAAAAGAACATAATTTTTTAACGGCAAATATAATCTACTCCTAAGCTAACATTTAATTTCACTTATGTTTATGATAAGACTTGAACCCTCGACCTCAAAGAGGGAAAACACCGTTACAAAGTCATCAATCACACATGTGAAATCAAAAAAATCTATAATAAAAAATTCATAGTCGAATCGATTTGAATTTCTTCCAAAATTACTTATTAAATGGTGCATAATGATATGTTTTGTTCTTTGTTTGTGATTATAGAACAAAAATATGAAAAACACATATAAAATATATCAATGTTGATCAGCGTTTATAAATAACAAAATTATTGATTAAACTAATGTAATATAGTTTATGAAATTTAGTTATAAAATAAAAAGTAAAAAGCCACTAAGACTTTGTTATTTGGCGTGAATGAAAGAAGAAAATTGGTGGAACATGAAACACATGGTTGTAACTTTTTATTTATAGGGCTGTAACTTTATTTTTTATTATTTTTTATTATTTTTTTTATTTGTGATATTTGGTTTTGTTTTATTGGTGGTAACTAGGGATGACAATTGATGACACGACACGATAAAAATACACGACACAAAACGAAATTGAGACGAAATTGAAATTCGAATTTGTGTTCGTGTCAAGTGTAAAAAACACGATGTCGTGTCGTGTCGTGTTCGTGTTCAAAATTCGACACGAAATCGACACGATTAAGCATTTGTCTGTCGTGTTTTTTTGTGTTTGTCGTGTTTGTCGTGTTATATATGATTAATTATTAATTAAATAAACTAATTTTTATTTTATGTTATCTTTGTCGTGTCGTGTTTGTTGTATTTTAATCGGTTCGTTTTCGTGTTTGTTAAAAAAAACACGACATCGTGTCGTGTCGTGTTCGTGTTACATAAAACCTTGTCGTGTCAGACAAAAACACGACACGATGGCCCGATTTGCCACCTCTAGTGGTAACTAATGAGATTGTTACTAATTAGCGATTAAAATAGGTATTAAGAAAAGAGAATAAATAAGTTTGTCCCTCATTTTTTGGATGCCGATTAGTTTTTTTTATTTATTTATTATTATTGTTTTTTTGGAATGACACAATATTATAAAAAACACAAAAACACTAGCAAGATGCTAAAGAAAACACTTATAAGAAACAATTAAGAAGGGGATTACAGATCTACATCGACCACTCCAGTGAACTCAATTAGATCGATGATTGATCCAATTAAAAACTATCAATTAGATATCATACGGCGTCTTCAAATGGACAACCTTGCTTTTGTTGAACATCCACCTATTTCTAGCATTCGAGATTAACCATATACTGGTATACATTAGAGTACTCCTTAAGCAAGCACAATTTTTGTTTGGAAGATAGAAATTTAAAATGATATCAAACTCTAACAGGTTCCTTGGAACCGATGGCAGAAAAGAGGCCTAAAGCCACCTCCACACTACAGTGACATACTCACAGCAAAAAAAAAAAAAAAACACATGATCGATGTCTTCCTCCTCGCGATTATAAAAGTGGAGGATTTAACATGAACACCTTTATGACATAAGTTCACCAAGATCGGGATTCTCCTTTTCAGAAACCTCCAAACAAATCAATTAACTTTGAGAGGAACCCAAATAATCCAATGGAAGTTCAAATTAGCCTCAACACCTTCAACGTCCGCAACAATAATTCTCAAGGATTTGACTGAAAACACATCAGAGCTGTCTCCCAGCCACCACCATTTGTCTCTTGCTCCTTAAAATTTAAAATTAGCAATTAAATTTAAAATATATTCTAGTTTTTGAGTTTCACGTCCCCTTCTTATGTTCCTGCTTCAATCCCCAAAACACTAAGGCACCAAATCAACCCCTAAAAGGATTTTATCCGAGACGAGACAATCCTTATTGTTGAGATTAGGGAACATCTCTTTTAAAGGAGTCTCATCATCACGCCAACAATCTTTCCAAAAAAATAGTTTTTTCCCTGAACCCACCACCCTACCAAAGAGACTCCTATGAGAGATATCAAGCTCTTCAAAATCAGAATATATTAGAGATACTAAGCCACACCCCCGGTCTAGTCTTCTTAGCAATAAGCTTTCCATCCATAATTGATAGCTTGTGCAAGGCCATGATACATCTACACCAAAGATCCTTTTCTTCGGATTTCAATCTCCACCACCACTTAGCAAGGATGGAGAGGTTTAACGGGTTACAACCCACAACATGCCCATCTTTATCCTTGGGTTTGGTAACCACACTCCAAGCCACCCAACAAACCTTCCTTTTGTCAATACCTCCACCCCAAATAAATCTCCGTCTAATAGAGTCCAACAAAGAGGTCACCTTGTTGGGAGCCCGAAACAAAGAAAAATAGTATAGAGGAAGACTATTTAGCACCGAGCTCACAAGAGTGAGTCTTCCACCAAAGGAGAGATTATTAGCTTTCCAATTGGACAACTTATTTTTAAATTTCTCAACAATCACACTTCAATTTTTTTTTCAAGTTTCATATTGGTTCCAATCGGAGCCTAAGATACACAAAAGGTAAAGTCGCAGGTTCACATTTCAAAATACTTGCAAGCCTATACACTTCCACATACTCAACCCCCA